CATCAAGAATTGGATATAGTCAACATATGAATAGTTGTGTTAAAACTGTAGATTGTGATAATGATAGCCAAATGCCTCCGAATCCTTATAGAGAAAGCCGTAGTTTTACGAAAGCTTTTAAAAATATTCAAGATAATAGACCTAGTAATGAAAATACAGTTAACTTATTTTCTCGAACCTCCGAAAATAAGTCTAAAAATATTGCTATAAGCAGTATTAGGGAAGCGCTATTTATCATCTGATATTTTTCTACTATTAGGGTACCCCCCTACCCCCTACCTGATTATATCTTTTATAATTATTTATAACATACAGTATAAAATTTACAAAACTATATACTATATATAAATATTACTGTATATATGCACTGTATATCAAATACGTATTATTGTTATACATACACGTACAAACGTACATACGTATGTACGTATATACCTATATACGTATATATCTAATTTTGACATTTGCTAAAATCTTGATTTTTTAGTACAAATATAGTTATTTTATACAATATACATACTAATTTTATAACAATACGTAGCGATAGTTATTCAGCGAATATTCTGTATTGCATATGAGATCTACGATAGCCTAGCCAAATATATAGTAAAGTTGCTTTATGGATGATTGCAGACTTTATATGCAATGAAAGAAAAGTTATATAAAAGCAATTTAATTTTTAACTTCAATAAATCTTAAATTTTTTTAATAAATAAAAAAAAAATCGTAATACCGACTTCTGTCTAATTATAAGGTTATTTTAAAACCTTAAAATCAACAATCACTTGCAGATTTAAACAAATCAAACCAAATATAAAAAAATTTATTGTATCTAGGTAAGAAAATCGCTTATAAATTTAATTGAATTTTTAGGATAAAACTAAAAATAAATCTAATAATTTTTCTCTAGGTCTTTTTATTAAATTATTCATGTGACCTTTTATGATGAATTCCCAATCTTGTAATTTTTCCTATTGTAGCCATACCTGATTCATATATATGATGCAATTAACTAAATAAAAATGATCTAACAATTCAAAATAACACCAATTTTTTCTCTCTTTAACTTGAAATAAGCAATAGTATATCTTTATATAAACGTGAAGAACTCATTATTAGTAAATAAAAAAGATTAGCCCATAAAATAAAATTAACACACTAGCAATACTTTCCTAAAAGCTAAAGTTCTGTAACCAGTTCACATCCAACACTTTAGATACAAAAACCTTTATTATAAACTAATACAGTATGTAAAGCTTTTTAACAACACCCAATTTTAGTAAAACTTTTTTTTACAAAGAACCTCAAGATTTATACCAAACATTTTGTAATGTGTATGCATATTACAAACAAGCATCCCATTGTAATCCAACTCCAAACCGTCAAAGACTTTTTAGAAATGTAATATGACTTGGAAACAAATTAAACATGAGCATAAACCATTAATTGAGGAAAATATTTTAATACTATTCCTTCACATATTCGTTCTCATCAATCAAATTTTATTCAGAATAGAACAAATAGAACAAATAATTCTAATTCTATCTTATCTTTTCCATCATTTCTACAACATAATGTTGAAGTGCACAAAAATGCAATAGGCCAACGTGATGCAATTAAAAAAATTGAAGTAGCCAACAAAAAAATATCAGAATACGAAAGAATGTATCAAATTTCAACAGACAGATCATTTAAAAAAACACTAAATTCAAACATTCTTAAAGAAAAATCATTAATTAATGAACAAGAAGTGCATTTGAAAAAGCTTAAGCATTACGCTGAAGCACAGGCAAGACTTGAGGCAAAAAAAACAAGATTGCTTCAAGAAGAAGGAGTAGTAGAGAAATATGATGGGCCTGGAAGGCTATCAGCAGCAATAAATCATCCAGATTTTTGGGATAAAATTCACGAATATGTTGAATTTGGAGCTGCACAAGCAAAAAGAAGAAAAGTCACTATTAAAGTATGAACTATAAAACATCTTCGGCAAGCGTTAGAAGAGAAGTATAATATATACTTATCTCGCCAATGTGTTTTAACATATCTTGAGCCTTGTCATTCCCGTGCATCTGCCGCATGTCATCATCATCATCCTGCTAAAGTTGCTCTTGCATCTGTAGCATGAACAGATATAAAACCTCACATTGACGAACACTATTGTCTAGCTTCAGTTAAAGCTGCCCAGATTTTCGCTGAAGTTTTCGCAAATGATACTGTAATCATCTCTTAAGACAATAAGGTGAAAATTGGTTTAGATATTCTCACAGTTGGTCGCACATTTAAAAGTATACAAACAATTAATAAACCAGTTACAGTTGCCGATTACGATTTTTCCACTAGCAGTAAAATGAAACTTATACCTTCTGTTTATCTTGTTATTGATCTAGCCAATTCAAATGATAACCTGAGATTAAAACAACTTGCAATCTTTATTAGACCAGAATATTTCATTGGCATCTCGTCATCAACTCATATTGCTAATCTTCAAAGTCTCGTCTCCAACAATCAGTTTGCCGCGGCTATAATGAAAGGAGATGAAGTGAAACCCATTTGGGTTCTTCTCATTGACGGGGGGGGGGGGCCGACAAAAACCCCAAACATATGAAAAACATAGTCCAATACTGTAATTTCTTTTATATATTTAATCTTGACTACCTAACCATTCGTACACATGCCCCAGGTCAAAGTGCTTTCAACCCTGTTGAAAGAAGCATGTTTTCTCTGTCTGAAAAGCTTGCCAGCATTACATTACCTGTTGACAAGTTTGGATCACACCTAGATAGTCAAGGAAACGTATTAGATAAAAATTTGGTACATAGAAATTTTAAATTTTCTGGGAGAAGCTTGTGTGAAATATGGAAAAGAGACAACATACATGGTAAGCCCGTCACAGTAGAGTATGTAGATCAAATTAGACATCCACATGCCGAAATGAGATCTTTAATATCATGGGAATGGATTGAAGATCATGCACAAATATGCCGTTACTCGTTAGATATAAAAAAAATGTAAAAATTTGTTATGTTGTAAAAAATATAGAGCATCAGACGCTGCACTTCTTTTAGATCAAAACAATGGATTTTTTCCTCCTATTATGAAAGCCAAGGATCAGCATTTCATTAATCTCATTCATGCCTTACAATATTATGATAAAATTAAAATCTTACTATATGACCGTTGCTGCCCATCGATCTCCCGAGAACTTCATCAAAGACTATGCTGCAACAAATGTAGTAAATACTTTCCTACTTTCAAGTATATAACTAACCACAAATGAACTAGGCATTCTTCAGAACATCCCAACAAGTGGCCATTTCCAATGAAGCTGACGATTTGGTGCAACTAACTCTGCAAGTAGTTATTGAGTAGCGTGAGATATAGTCAGACATTAAGTAGTAGTTTTTTTTTTTATAATTGATATACTATATAAAAATCTAAACTAATACATCAAAAATCTTGGAATAATTCAGAAAAAAAAAAAAAAAAGCAAGATAAAAGTGAAAAAAATACTCATATTCAGGATTTATCTTTGAAGAATGCGTGAATTTTGCCTTATCAGAATCTGAAACCCCAACTGGACTTTAAATTTTAAATATTTCAGTAGCTCCAACAAAGACTACTAGAAAGCACTAGAAATGTATTAATATATATGTTGTTAATATTAGTCAATTGAAATAACTATACAATAATCAATTTAGCACCATTTTTAGTCCCCAAATAAATCAAAGTATAATGTAATGAAAAAGAAATAGGTATTAATGTACCAACAGTAATACGGAAGCAACGTTTGAAAAAATGAATTGATTATGATAAGTAAAATAAAAGTGCTTGAAGACTTTAGAATAAACCTTTTGAATTTTTTTGTGATTAATTCAAGTCTTGCGAAAATAGCTTGCAAGGTCAGGCAGGTTGCATTCATAAAATTAAATTTTAAGTTTTCTAGAAATTATCTTATACAGAGAAAGTGAAAGTAAAATAAAGTTAGTTTTGACAAGCTATGCTAGAAATTTAAAGTCGCATATACCCTGGTGAAATAATACGGATTTCACCCTAACAAGCTAGTATTTAGCTTTCACTAAAGAGAATGGCTAAAGCTAGATCATGTAATGTTGCTCTCCTATTTAGTTTTTTTTTTATATATAAATAGGAGGTCTATATATTGAAAAAAAAAGCCTTAATTAATTGAGATCTTATATAGCTGGGTATAATTGTAAAATCTGTCACTATAGGGAATTGCGAGATCTATTGCCTTTATCAGATATTATATATATATATATATACTATATATATATATATACTATATATATATATAACCTGATACTTTCCTGACCCCCAAAAATCAGATGATAAATGGTGCTCCCCTTAAATTTGGAAAATAATCACAAAAATCTGCAGTCAATTTTAGCCAAGTTGCTGCTAAAGAGGAAAAGCTTTGCGATATTTTGAAAGATGACGGAGAAGATAACGATATGTTGTTTAAATTAGAAGATGAGAACAATATGAGCTTCGAGGTTGCTGCTAATAAAAATGAAGAATTTTTTGAAATTCTTCAAAATACTTTGCAGAATTATAAGGATATTGTTGATGAAATAAAAACTTCTAAATTCTTCGATGAATTATCTAGCTCAGATGAAGATAATTCTAAAAAATATAAAGATTTTCCAAATGAGACATATGCAGATTTAATGGCTTTGGTTACTAAGTTTAAACTGAGTAATGCAGTTGGAAACGCTATTATCAAATTTCTAAATCACCATTGCCAAGTAATATTTCACAAAGCAAAACATACATAAACAATATGAAATCAGATTTGTCTTATAAAAAGACTTGTGTGTTAAAACACAATGATTCCGAATATTTTTTCTACTATATTCCAATTCTTGAATGTACATATTAAAAACATTTTAAAAATTTCTAACCTTATACAAAATTTTGCGACGGATTATGAAGAACGTAGTAAAATTTCAGAAATATATTATATATTTTATATTATTTTAAATTCTATATATTTATAATTTTATATTTTATATTATAAATTTATTTATAAT